ACGTACTAGGTCACTCGATGGGTGGTATGCTAGCCACACGCTTCGCCCTCATGTACCCAGAGCAAACATCCCATCTCATTCTCACGAACCCGATCGGCCTGGAAGACTGGAAGGCTCTCGGGGTACCATGGCGCAATCTCGACGCTTTGTACAAAGACGAGCTGGCCACCAACTACACATCAATCCGGAAATACCAACAAGCTACTTACTACGTCAATACCTGGAAGCCGGAATACGACGTCTGGGTCAACATGCTAGTCTCACTCTATCAAACATCACCCGAAAACATCGACTTTGCGTACAATATGGCGCAGACTACGGATATGGTCTTGACTCAACCGATTGCATATGAGTTTGAGCTTGTACAGCCTAAGACGCTCCTCTTGATAGGAACCAAAGACACGACGGCTATCGGGAAAGCCTGGAGCCCGCCAGAAGTGCAGGCTAAGATAGGGAAATACGAGGTGTTGGGTAAAGAAGCAGCGGCGCGAATCCCAGACGCAGAGCTTATTGAGTTTGAGGAATTAGGCCACAGTCCACAAGTTCAGGACAGTGAGCAATACCATAGCGCGCTGCTAGGGTGGCTGGAGGGGTCTGACTAAACCTGTTGTGGCAGTGCGGATGCGTGAAGCGTGACGTATAATGAATTGAGCAGTAGCAAAAAAAGATAAAAGATCATCGATTTTGATGGACGAAGTCAGTTTCGAACCCAGAGCAAAAATAGATCGCTTCAACCGAAGCCTGTATGTGAACGGATCACACCCTGCACGACAGGGTAGACATGCGAAGGACATACGCTACGGGCCCATCAGATTCTATTTAGATATTAGTAAATTATTGCGTATATATACTACAATACAGTGTTTCAATTGCCTGGAGGTGATGGGTGAGAGTGCGTTTGCTGGTGTGACTGTGAGAACTGGGATGAGCAAACAGTGTCCGCACAGACTGGGTACGTCACGTCGATAGGCCGGATAAGCAGACTATCTGAGTGAAAGGGACCACATCACTTGCGCTGTCTCATTGCTCACACATCGTGGGATGAGATAATCGCTCAGGTGTGTTCAGTGTGTATGCAACCGTCACAGTATGTCCGACTGAGTCACTGGTGTCTCAGGACATCCAGAACGCCCATCTAAAGATCTCAGTAACTACAAAATACATTCGATACCTTACCATACACCCTTCTATCCATTCCAAAGCCACGGACACACTCCACACTCCACGCCCCACTCACACCCTCACCAATCCGTCCTCATACTATAATAAAAATTCCCACTAACCTTCCCCAACAAATGATCCCCATACCTCCCCCTCCCATACCCGCCCTTCCCGCCCGTCCTCTCCACACACTTCCCCAACGGCTCAACCCACGCCTCAAAATTCGGTTCATAGAAAAACGGCACACTAACCCTATACGCTTCCCCCCTATGAATAACCCGATGTTTAGTACTCTTCCACAACCCATTCGTCCACCGCTCAATCATATCCCCGATGTTGACGACAAACGCGCCGGGGAGGGGGTCCGCGTTCAGCCAGGTCGTCCCGTCTTTGAGCAGGACTTGGAGGGAGGAGGGTGTGGGGTCCGTGAGGAGGAGGGTCACGCAACCGTAGTCTGTGTGGGCGCCGCAGGAGAATTGGTCGATGTTTTCGTCGCCGGAGATGGGGGTTGTGAGGGGGGGGTAGCCGATCATGCGCATGACCCAGAAGGAATCGGAGCAGTTACGCAGGAAGATCTCTTCGTCTTGCGTTGATTGTGTTGCGCCTTCTTTGGGCGGTGGACCGAGGTCGAGAGCTACGCCCATGGCGTGCACGAGTGCTTCGCCGACTTTCTTGACGCGCGAGATGTATTCTTCGTACACGGGTCTTAGCTGTTCGGGTTTCTCGGGCCATAGATTGACACCTTGAAGGCTCTTGACGCTGCCTGGTCCGCCATCGCCTGGTTCTCTTTTCTCGGCGGGCCAGTCCCGGTACCAGTCAATGGCTTCTTGCATATCTTGCAGACCACCCGTCACGTTTTCGCCGAGCCCCTGGTAGCCGCGTGCGCCGTCGCCCCCTTCCGGGCTGCCGGCATCGAAGCGCTTGATTTTGTTCTTTTCTTCGAGCGGTAGAGAAAAGAAATCACGCGCCAAGTTGATGATTTCGTCGAGTTTGGAAGTGGGGATGCCGTGGCCGGTTAGGTAGAAGAAGCCATAGTTTATGCAGGCGGCGTTTATGGCGGAGGCGGTTGTGGAACGGGCTTCTTGCGAGGAGGAGGGGTCCATGAAGGGGGATATGTCGATTATGGGCAGTCCATCTTGTTGGGCGGCGGCGATGGGCTTATCGTAGCGGGAGCTGGAGTCGGGAGTGGGGTTGAGGTTTCCGGGAGGTGAGGCTATGGTGCCATTTGACTGTTTATCTTCTACTGGATGGGAGGCTAGATTCATCTCTGACATTTTATCTTCCGTCAGATGACCGTCTCTTGTCTGGTTTGCTAACTCTTTTTCAACTCAGGGATTGATGATAGACCGTATTGCCTCTGACTCAGACACGATAACGGTCCTGGTAACTCACAGTCAACTGTCCTGGAAAGAAGTTAGCAGTGATGTAGGATTTTGTATGAGCACTGCGTGTAAAGTTTGAAGAGGTTGGCAAGTTGGTACAAACGTGTGTTGGAGTGGAAAGGTCGAGATGTTGGATGTTCGGATGGCGATGCCTGATCGAGACTAGACGCGGCTATTCTAGGACATGTTCAAGAGACGCAACTATGGGGGATATGCGTCCAGATCATGCTACCACGAAGGATCTTGTCCAAATTGATGACTGCACACGGTATTTGTTCATGATAAAGATCTTCCCCTCCACGTATGGTGCACGTTAACCAGCTTGCTGTCAAACAAGGCACGCCAGCAGAGAGCAGCGCCCCAACATACGCATCTTCACAAATGTAAGCGCAAGATCACTCTGGCTATCGTCGTGGCTTCATTTCAAGTACAGTGGTATATCGCTCTATCCAGTGAACACATGTCATGCATCGCATCATGATTAATTTCTATAGATGCACCTGTATCGCATCATCACGCACTGCTAACTAGCAACACACTGTTACCAGTCGTGGTCATTTACATGATGACCTCGTTCGAGACGTCCTGTACAACGCGTTAGCACACGCTGAGAACTCAGATGTTGATTGACTTACCCTCTTGAGCTCCTTGTAGGGCAGGCAAACACAGTTTTGCACGCGAACCTCATCAGCAACAGCACACTCCTTTCCGAGGATGGTGATGCTCTGGACCTTGACGCCATTCTTGATGACGCTGGTCGTGTGGCTGGTGACGGGGGTAGGAGTGCCCTCGACACGCGCCCAAGCACCGACCTTGCTGTGCCAGCCGATGATGGTGTACAAGACGCATGCGTCGTGCTTGATCTCAGAATCTTCGAGGACAATGGACTCCTTGACACGTACACCAGCGCCAATGACGACGCGGGGGCCGATGGAGACGTTGGGGCCGATCTTGGCGGTTGGGTCGATCTGCGCGGAGGGGTGGATGTAGACGGGAGGGAGGATGTTTGCGGAGGGGGCGGCGAGTTCTTCTGAGCCTGCCTGGAAGGCCTTTAGGAGGTACAGAGCATTCGCTGGCACGGCGGAACCAGCGGTCTTGATCTGGCGCCAGAAGTCCTTGGTCTCGAGGACGAAGAACTGCCTGCTGTCGGCAATGTCAGACAGCACATCCTGCTCCAATCGGATAACAGCATTCTCCTTGTTGTCATCGTCGTCGTCGTTTTGGTAGAAGGAGGATTCGAGGTTCTCGGAGGAGGGGTACGACAGCAGCCGTGGGCGCTCGGTCCGTCGCTTGATGGCGCTGCGGATGGCGGGGAAGATGCACTCGGTCGCGAAGAGGTAGACGCCGCAGTTGATAAGGTTGGAGATGTGCGACTCGGGCTTCTCGACATAGTGAAGCACGCGCTTCGTATGCGCGTCTGAAACAATGCATCCAAAGTTGGAGGCGGCGTCGTTGGCGACCCGCGTACCCAGCATTACCGCCTCCGCATCCTTGTCCTCGAACAGCTTGAGCATCTCCACCAGCGGGAACGAGGAGCAGACATCGGCGTTGAGCACGAATAGCTTCTCGGGCCTGCCCTTCAGTATAACGTCGCGGAAGTGGTAGAGACCGCCCGCCGTGCCCAATGCCTGGTATTCGCGGAGGTACTTAACGCTCAGGTGCGGCCAGCTGGTCGAGACGGCGTTGATGAACTGCTGGAAGACGGACTCCTCGTAGTAGCCGACAATGAAGACCTCCTTGATCTCGGGGACGTTCGTGATGGCGCGGAAGCAGTGCTCGATTATCGGGTGGCCGGCGATGGGGAAGAGCGGCTGGAGCAGCGTTAGCGGGGATGTCCTTGGGCTGTCTATTTCGCGTCGTCGCGTACTTTGGGCAGTTCCATAGACAGAGGCCTGAAGCGTGTGCCGCGAGAAGGGCCTCCGACCTAGTGCGGTGAGTATACATGGCGGCGTCGGTGTTGTGGGCAGTATCTACCAGAATGACGGCCTTGGTCGAGCCTCCAGACGGAGACTTGGGCCTCATGGAGAGGGAAGGCGGTTGCAGACTCATAGTGGCGTAGTTTTGGGTGTGAAAAAGCAAGCTGGAATCAAGAGATTGTCGGAATGTCTCAAGATCAGAAGAAAGGTGCAGTGAGTGCAATTGCGAATCTGGCCTTCAGGAACGAGTTGGTGGACCCTGGAAATCCAGCCCACGCTGGCGTTGGCGGTGAGGCGCCCTGGCGAATCGGGGCGTCGGCGCATCGTCAGGTGCATGTCGACTTCATCCCTTTTCACACGCCAGCCGTGAGGGAATACGAGCAAGCTAAATCCGTCGCGCAGATACGATGTCACGATGCTACCAATTCTGCTACCAAAATAGTAATTTGGATTTAGTGATAGCTGCTAAGCATATCATCTGTCGAAACCTCCTACCACCTAGGTATACATATTGGGGATTCCCATCAACTCCATGCCACCACTACTTTCCTACGCCAGTCGCAAGCTTCTTGTTCTTCTTGATCAACGCGTTGAGCTTCTTCTCCAACACGTCATGCTCTCTCCTCGCCGCATGCATGGCCTGCTCCGCCTCTTCTATGGTCAGCACACTACCTCTTCCTCTTCTTGTGTTGCCATATCCACCCATTCCAGCTGTCGTCTCAATCGCGTTCATTAACCCCTGCATGTCCATTCCGCTTCCACCGCCATTTCCAAAGGTGATGTTGCCGTTGCCGTCAAGGCCGAACTCTTGTGAAGACTGGTAGCCAAGTCCAGCACCCACGAGCGCTTCGAGACCCTGCACAAACACGCCGCCAAGCCTGTCAGCCGCCATCAATCCCATGCCGTCTATCTCTGTGCTTCCTACCGCTCCTCCCTCAACCACTGCTTTGGCCGCTTTGGCTAGTCGGTTCGAGTTGACAGAGATGTTCGCTGTTCCGGCGCCAGGTGCGCCACCAACAGCCGCCATCTCGGGACGTGGCTGGTTTGGCGGTGGGTTGTCCGTCTTCGGGAGAACGTATTGATTTAGGTAAGCGCCGGCATCTGCGGGTGTTTGCTGTTGTTGTGGAGGAGGGACCTGGGGCATGGACGCGTCCTGTCCTTGTACGGGTGGCAGGGGAAGGTTCGTCGAACCGAGAAGTCCAGAAGAGTTGTCAAGTCGCGGCATTTGCTGTCCTCCGTTGGTGTTCAGCTTCTTACCTGCCTCCTTGAGTGCAGTAGCGATAGCTGGGAGGACGTCATTTGAATGCGCTGAAGTAGTCATACTGTGACCGTGTGCATTTTGCTTACGAGGGTGGAAGCGGGCATGGCCTTTGAGCTCCTCGATATGCTTCTCAAGCTCAAGTGCCTTGTTCTCAAGCTCTTCAGTCAACCCCCAGAAGAACTTGCCGTTGGGTGTAATCAGAGTCCTGGAGTCTAGCTTTGCGTCCTGGCTGTTCAGACGTACTGGCTTCTTCTTCGCAAGCGCCTCAAGGTCGGCTTGGGAAAAGTGCAGCTTCAGATCCGGAGGTGTAGACACATTACCGTTCTGAGTAGAGCGGGTAGCATGAGCAAGTGACGAAGACAGCGGTTTGAAGAACTCAAGGGTCGATGCAAGGAGCTCGCCCGTGCGCTGCAAGTCAGCCATAATCGACTGAGCTGAATGCTCCCGCTTTTCCTTGGGCTGTTCGGGCTCCGGCTCTGGTTCAGGCGTTGCTGTTGCCGAGATCTTCGCTGACGACACTCTCCGTGAGGCCACTGTCGGCACTTCAGGTTGTTCCTCTTCGACAGTAGCCGGCTTAGGCGAGGCTGGCTGACTCTTGAAGGCAGCGGCAATAGGTTTGGCGTTTGTTGTCGGCTTTTTGGCTTTCTTCTTGCGCCCAACGATTGGAGCTTGCATTACCTCAACATCCGACTTGTTGTCTTCCAGTATTTCTTCTTCTATCTGCTTCTTCCGCTCTTGCCTATCCTTCTTGGCCTGTGACTTTGTCTTCTTCCTAACAGGCGCAGTCCCGACCTTACCGCCGATCGGAGGTGGTGAGCTGGCCCTGGAAAATGATGTAGAAGTGACTGAAGCAGTATCCGATATCATTTCGCTTGGTGTGCCTGGTATATTGACGGAAGCGATACTCGCTTGCCTAGATCGAAGCTTGTCGACCGTTGGGATCTGAGGCAAGGACGGTTGTGATGCCGCCGAAACAGGCGGTGGCACTTCCGTCTTTGGTGTTGCGACGACACGCAAAGTCCTCGGAGCACCCGCGCGCTTGATTGGCGATCCAGTCACCGCTGCGGCGGGACTTGGAGGTACAGAACCAGCTGATGTCGTTGGCACAGAACGACTGCTTTTTGCCTGAGAGTCTGTTTTAGATGAGGTTGGAGCTGGAGAGCCAGCTTCAACTGGCAGTTTAGTTGCTGCTTGAATATCGAGCTTGCCAGGAGGCTGTCGCTTGGTCGAAGCTGGAGGTGTCGCAGTCGCCGCAGGAGTGCGCGATGTCTCTTTCTGTGGCTCTCTCTTTGGGGTGGTCTGAACTGCAGCTTGAGTCTTCTTAGAAGCACCCTTCGACTTTGGCGTGTCCTTGCTTATCGTCTCCGCCATTGACTTCTTAGCATCTGGGGTCGACTTGGGTGTCTGCATAACTTCTTCTTTCGCTGCTTTCGAGGCCTCTCTGGGTGTGGGTTCCTTGGGTGTCTGGGGAACGACAACTGCTTCCTTGGGCGTCGTCCTCGAGGGCGTCGTAGGTACAGGCGAAGGCTTGGAGACTGTGGTCGCACTAGGTGCTGCTGCAGGAGTCGCAGGTTGGATGATCTCACTCTTCTGCTTGCCCTTGGTATTCTTGTTAGGAGCTGAGTTGGGAAGCGGCGTGGCAGGTACAACAGGCACGGCCGGTATGATGGTCGAAGATGTAGTACGGGACATTGGTCGAGATCCAGCACGCGAACGTGACTCTTCAAGGACTGCTTTAGGAATTGCTGGTACTGTGAAGCCAGGCGGTATAGTAGGAGTCGATCGGCGAGGGTGCTCGAAGAATTGGCCGCTTAGTGGAGTGCTTGGAGCGGGTCGTATTGGCTCATTATCGCTGTCGTTAACCAGTGCATCGACGTTGATAGATGCCTGTTCCTCTACACTCAAAGATCCATCATCTGCAATACTACGTCAGCACTAGAATCTTCAAAGTGTAAATTGACAAAAGCGAGGTCATGATCTAAGTACGGCGGCCGCCAGACGATGGTCAGGATGGGTTGACAAAAGCGTAAGGTACATCATGTTGCAAAGTCGTCTCTCGAACATCTTCGTCACTTGGTGGGCAAGAAAATAGTGAACAGGCCATCTCTCTATTAGAAAGTAAGCATGCCGACATGATGCGGCAGGAGGGGTAGTTACGTACATGCGATGGCCATGACGAAGACGACGAGAGAAGCCAACCTTTGCAGCGGCAGGACAGCGCAATCCACCAAATCATGACAGAAAATGAAAGGAAATAAGAAGGTATAGGTGCCGTGAAGACATGCCGGGGCCATATGCTTTGACAAAATCCGTGCAGTCCAAATCATAACGCCAGGCGATCCAGTGTCGAAGCACTGGATATGTGCCGATGCATTCGCCGTAAATCCGAAACGCCATGCAGCCATCATTGAAGTAAAGTACTAAGACAAAATGTCAAGCCGCGAGGCCGACCCGAGTGCAGAATGAAAGTGACTACCATCGTCCAGCGCCGCCGTAGTTGTTGTTGGAATAGAGCGAAGAGAAACCACCTTGGCCTTGACCATACATGCCCTGCCCGGCCATTCCGCCTTGGTGCAGCCTCGCCTGCAAGATACTCGGGTCTTGGACATCGGCAAGACCGCCACCCCCAGAGGAGGAAGTGTTGGCATGCCTATGCTTCTTGCCCTTTTTCTTGGATTTCTGCGAACCAGACTCCTGGTAAGCTCCAGGCGAAGGTCCATAAGGGAAGCTGAGGAGGCCAGGGGCAGGGGCAGGTGTGGAAGTTGAAGGATGTTGATTAAGGAAAGAAGGAAACATTGACTCACGCTTTCCAGCATCAGCTAGTCTAGCACCACCGTCCATGTTACGGCTGCGGAGCAGGTCCTGATACATGGCATCATTGTTGTTTCTCGCCGTTGCGCCAGCCCCGTAGGGTAGACCACCAGTGGCGAAACCGTGGCCTTGACCGAACATGCCAGTCCCGCTGACTGGGGGTGTGCCAGTAGGCTTGAGTCCTGGAGGGGGTCCCTGCACGTTGGTGAAGAACTGCCCACTCAACTGCTGATGCTGAGACATGGGGTTGAATTGATTGGCATTCTTGGGCATCATCGAGTTTTGCTGGCTCATCAGCTTCTGGTTTGCGACAGGCTGCACATTCGCAGAAGCGGAAGCGCTGTCGTTGGCGAAGCTGAAGCGTGAAGTGTGCCTGGTGTGGCTAGAGGCATTCTGCTGTTGAGGATGCTGAGCACTTGGCATGTTGTTCAGTAGGCCCGTGGCTTGGGTGCCAGACTTGAAGTTGGAGAGCAACAGCTGCTGCTGTTGCTGTGGTGTAAGGCCTCTGTTGCTCAGTCCCAGGCTGCTGAAGTCCTCGGCCAAAGGCGTGTTCTGTCCGAAAAGGCTGCCTCCAAAACCTTGCTGACCAGGTGGTGCAATCGCGTGTTGATTGAGGTGGTTGGTGCTTGTCTCGGGACCGTCTTCGGGCTCTCCACCTAGCTGCAAGCTGCCGCCAGCCGTTGCTTCGTTGTCTTCACGCTCAGCAGCTGGGGCATGCTGGGACGCTGCCTTTGCTACAGCAACAGCTTCCGCTTCAGCCTCGCGCTGCAGTGCCAGTTCCTTCTCCTTCTTTTCTTTGATGGCACGACGCTTAGCACCGCCATTGGGATCCAGGAGTTGAGGAAACTCGGTGACAGCTTTCAGTTCTTCCTCAGATAGAACGGCGCTCGAGAACACGAACTTGAAGTCTGGCGAGCAGATGACCTTCAGTAAATCGTGAATACCATTGTCGCGGGGCTTCGGCGGTCGGGCAGCGGGTGCGGGTGTCGGAGCAGGCGGCGGGGTTGCAGCCTTCAATGCTTGTGCAGCCTTCTCCTTTTCCTTCTCTTTCTCCTTTTCTTTTTCTTTTTCCTTGTCCTTGCCCTTCTTCTTTGGTGGCTCAGCTGCTTTCGATGGCTTGGGTGGTTGCGCGGGAACAGCATTCGTGACCATGGGACTGGCGTTGTTCGAAGCGACCGTGGAGCGGCTGGCTCGGCGTTCCAGCAATGCCTTGCTTCCCCAGCTAGCGGTTGCAGGCAAACCGGGTGCCTCGTGTATTGAGCTCGACGTATCGGTACTGTCTTGTCGATGCATCGGGATCGCGGCAGCGACAGCGGGACCCTGGTGGGCGGGGGGCGCGGCTCGAGACGTAGACGATTGTGACGGTTGTTGCGTCTGGATTGAGTTCATCATGGAGAGATCTTGGCGAGTGAAGCTGTCGTTATCTTCGCCGGGTTCGTGCAAGAACATGCAATTGCGGTTATTGCAGGTCTCGCCGCGAAGATACGCTGAACAGTACTTAGTAGTACCAAATTGAGCCCTGCAAGAGACGTGAGCTTGTTACATGACACGTGTGCATGTATAGGGATTCACATACCTTAATGTCCTCTCGCCATTTTGAGAACCGTCGACAGCATTGATGCACTTCTCTGCATCTTCCTTGCGAGCGAATGTTACATAAACACCCACCGACTGTTGATGCTGCGCGTTCTCCTTGGCTTTGCTAACGACAATCTTGAGGATCTTGCCGTACTGGCCGAAATAGTCGTCTCCACGAAGAGTCTTGAGCAGTTCGTCTTCGCGTATCGTCGGCGTGAGACCGGTCACGTATACGAGGTTCTTCTGGACGACACGCAGACCAGACAGGTGCTTGCGGCTGAGAGAGTCGGCTTCGGCCTTCTGTGCTTCCTTCTGCCGTATCTGTGCGTTCTTCTTGGCCTTTTGCGCGATGAGCTGCTTGTGTTGTGCCATCCTGGGTAGTGTCAGATGTGTTTAGAGATGGAAGGTGCAGGGGACCCACTCTTCGGGGGAGATGGTCTTCCACTCGATCGTGGAGTCATCGTAGGGGCGGCGGCAGGCGGGACACAGTCCGTTCATGGTCGTCTTGATGTTGTTGTAGCAGAACTGACATATCTGGCACGTGGGTCAGCATGGGACTCGAGATGGTTCACCGAGTTTTGGCACAAAGGCGTACTTGGTAGCCGCATGGGCAGGGGCGGAAGTTCCTGTCCGAGAGGTCGAACTCTTCGACACAGAGCGGGCAGCACTCCTCCTCGTCATCGTCGACGAACTGGTCCTGCTGCAGTCGAGACATGGTGCTGTGTGGTTGCGATGTGTTGTTGAGAGCGGGTGGCGCTCAAAGTAGAGATACGTGGGGTGAGACGAGACCTGGGGGGTCGGGACGAGAGGTCAGTAAGGAAACCGCGGAAGTACAAATAAACGCCGGCCGGAGTGTCGCTGTCGCTGGAAGAGGGATCCACAGGAGGTGATGGGGGTTAAGAGGCTGCACCTGCGCGATGGCACACCAGGTTCCGCTTAACGCTAGCGACTTACATAAGCGCGCATTTGCGGGTGGGAGCTGCGAACTCGACGACGTCGACGACATCACCACCCGCAGTCGCCCTCACCTGCTACATCGCGTAGCCTCACCACTCTCTCACCGCACACAATGGCTATGCGGCTAGCTGTCGGCCGGCCATTGGGCGCCGCCGTCCGCGCCTCGGGCTCCTCCCGCCATGCAGTTCGCACCTTTGCCTCCACGGCTCTCCGGGCAAAGGAAGTCGCCGGTCCCGAATCGGAGACGCCAAACATGAGGGTGCGCATGTCACATGATATGGTGAAGACGTGGTTTCTAATGTGATCGCAGTTTGCCCCCCGCGACGAGACCGTCACGCTCAAGCGCGCGATCGTGAACCCGGCCGACCACTACAAAGAGAAGGGCGAGGCTCTGCACAAATATGGCCAGTACATCATGTCATGTCTGCCCAAATACGTCCAGCAGTATGTCAATCCACACCTGGGAGTAACTACCGTCTGACCATACCCAAGATTCTCCGTCTGGAAGGATGAGTTGACCATCTACGTCCCGCCCGCCGGCATCATCCCCACCTTCACCTTCCTCAAGTACCACACCGCCGCAGAGTACACACAAATCTCAGATATCACCGCCGTCGACTACCCCACGAAGGACCAGCGCTTTGAGGTTGTCTACAACATGCTCAGCATCCGTCACAACTCGCGCCTGAGGGTCAAGACGTACGCGGATGAGGCCACTCCAGTACCCAGTCTGTGCGATCTCTACGACGGTGCCAACTGGTACGAACGTGAGGTCTATGATCTGTTTGGTGTATTCTTCGTTGGACACCCGGATCTGAGGCGAATCATGACCGACTACGGCTTCGACGGCCACCCACTGCGAAAGGACTTCCCCATGACCGGATACACTGAGATTCGATACGACGAGGAGAAGAAGAGGATTGTTGTAGAACCCCTGGAGATGACACAGGCTTTCAGGAACTTCCGTGGTGGCTCATCAGCATGGGAGCAGGTGGGTCCTGGTGATGACCTCAAGCCAGAGAACGTAAGCTATCCTTCATACCACGTTCTGGACTCAACCTCTAACAGGCACGTAGTTCAAGCTCCCAACGCCAAAGCCAGAGCCTCCCAAAGAGGGCGAGCAAAAGAAATAGAATGTTCAGAGCATTTGGATTGTATATACCTGCGAATGGATGTGATTGTACAACATCCGATGGCCCACAACATATACCCGCTGCTGTGATGATTTGCTCGGTGTAGTTGCTTCACTTGTCGGCGCTTTTGAGTCTGCACAATCCAGATTGCACGTCGGAGTAAGATTCACAAGACATTCAGATGGAATTAGCCATGCTAGGCACAGGTCCGACTACTGCAGCCCGATCGCGTCTCGTATCTCGTATTTGAAGTCTCAATGCTCATGCCAAGCAGATCTCGCATTTCCCCGCCCAATCAGGGAAGCGCCTAGCACTGCACCTTCCTCCGTCAGTTCCCACTTGTCGGGTAAACATCGGTACCCGCTAGACAACGTCTTGCATGATCTGCCGTAGTATGGCTTGATGTGTAAGACGAACCACCATAGCTAACCATCGGAAGTCAAATCTTGCACGTTCTCACCCGGAACAGTACCCCGCTTTCCCCGTCCGCATCACAAGATGCCGACGTCCCAGGATGAAGGGGCTTCGGGGTAATCTCCTTTGGTATCCTCAGTGGGCTCTCTCCACCGCCATCACAATCATCCAGCTGTATCATACCGACGTTCTACCGCACTTCCGACTTCCAGCCAATCGCATGCGTTACCATACTTTAGCAGTAATCGCCGTCGTCACACCCGTAGAGCTGACCTGCATCACTGCGCCAAGGTATAAATACAATCAGGATTCTATAGATTAACATGCATCACCAAGATGAAGTCCTCCATTCTCTCTTTCCTCGCAGCTACAGCCACAGCCGCAGTCACCATGTCCAATACGACTACCACAACCATCAAGCCCTTCAGCCTCTCGGCTCCACCAAACACTGACATCTGGCGCAAGCCTCCCATGCACAACGCCTTCAATGCATCGACCTACCCAGAGCAGCTCCCAACCTACACTCTGAAGAACTTCCAGCGAGCGCAGCTGTCGTTCGAGCTTCCACCGTCTGACCAACTCCGCCAATACGATCAAGCCGGCCTCTTACTGCACGTCACCAAGCCAGGTGTTCCAGACAACCAAACCAAATGGATCAAGACTGGTATCGAGTTCTACTACGGAAAGCCGTATGTGGCGACCGTGGGCTGTGATGCTTGGGCTGACTGGTCACTCACACCTATGCCTGAGTTCAAGAACGGTACTATGCCCGGCGCCACCATTGAGGCGAGAAGGGAGAGCGATGCGCTCGGCAACAGTCTTTGGATTTACTGGATCATCAAGGATGAGGCTGGCAAGGAGGTCAGCAGGCAGCCATTGAGGGAGGTCACCTGGGTCCTTGCTGAGGAGTACGAGCGATGGAGCGTGAGTATCGCAGGATACGTTTGTCGTCCGACTACGGCAGGTGGCGATGGAATGCTTGAGGCGGAGTTCAAGGACGGTCTGGAGATTGAGACTCTCAATCACGTGTAAGGGGAGAGTGCGAGATGGGCGTTTGTTATGGTACGTGATATTGTCACCTGCGGTTGCGATAGTACCTGAGAGCAAACAGTAGATGGTTTATAAGTTGCAGTGACGCGTTGATAGTCAGTAAATATCATCGTTTACCTCCATATATACGAACTTGCCCGCATGTATCTTGCTCAATAAGGCTATCAAATCCATATCTTACGACTGCAGTGAGCACAATATGACCCAAGTTTGCCTTCAGGATAGTCAAGTGAGCCATCACTGGCTCCCGAAAAGGGTCAGCCGAGCGTAAGCGACAGTTTCTCTCATTCATTGAGCAAAGCACAAACTCACTGCGACTGCCTGGAGAGCACTGACCTCTGGGCTATATATCCTCATCGATTTTGATTTCTTGATCCGCACTCCCTCTTCGACAAGAACAGTCGTCTGATTCAATACCCTCTACGATTTCGCGACAATGGTCAACGTTCAGTTACACTGCCCGTCCACGAAGAAGACCGTCGAGCACTTCTTCGTCACACCGTTCCAAACTCTCGAGCAAGTTCTACCAAGTGTACGACTTGCCCTCGACATCAAGTACGCCGCGATATATACCACAGAGGCCAAGCGCATCACGGAACCGAGTACTCTCCAAGAAGACCAGCGGGTGCTGGTAGCAGCTAGTGCGAAAGAGATCATGTTGCCTGATGCACCGTACGAATGGACTCTCTACGAGGGCGAGGAAGGCGACGACGTTGACATGAACGTCGAGTGCTACGGTCTGCAGTGGATAGTAAGTATACGTTGTTCTTTCTCCACATCAAAGGAACGCTACTGACTGAAGCGTAGGAGCTATGCGACCACGACAAGTGCCTGCACATCACCAGTCTGAACGAGCAGAAGCCCACAACTCGCAACAAGCTTCGTATCACCCGCGAGTACAAGCTTGTTGAGGCCGACATCGAAGCCTTGAATTCCACGACTTCAACTTCTGCACGTGTTGCCGAAGACGAGGACCACATCGAGAAGTGTTGGGACATCGCTGTCGAACACTTCCTTCCTACTTCGATGAAGCCCGCCGCCGCCAAGTCCAGTTCGAAGTCGTGCGATCCTTCCACACTGGCTATTCTTAGTGTCCTCGCAGGCTTCACTCAAGGTCAATCTCGTCTCGTCCTCGAAGTTCTCGAAGAGGCCGTCGCCCTTCGGACGGAAGAGGATCAGGGTGATGACAAGAATCCCACTTTGCGAAAAGACGATGTGCTTAACGCGATTACTATCATCTACGAGCGCGCTGAAGTCATTGAAGCCAAGCTCATCAAGGGCAAGGGTGCGAAAGGAAAAGGGAAGGGGAAGAGGAGGCCTTCGAAGGGCACTCCGAAGAAGCTTGGCGCTATGTCGAGCTCGAGTTGAGATTCGGTAGATTAGGCGGCGACAAGATGGGTCTGGTGTTTACGTTGAGTTACCTGAAGGTGCGAGGATATACCCGGAGTGTTTTGAAAGTCATTTTGCGGGATTAAGTTATACACAGGCGGCTACATTTGGTTTGTACGGCATACATAAACGATAGGAGATACCTATGTAGCTGGTAAGACGGGCTACAGAATACGATTACAATGAATCTGTCAAGTTTGTATTTGTCTACCAACCACCTTCATTACTAACAAGCAGAGACAGCAGGGTATGTATGCGTATATCTTCCGATGCTTTTCCCCTCATATTTCCCACAATTCTTTCCAGTCACACCACTACAGAATGTCCGAACAACCAACACCACCATCAAGTGTGCAGCCAACAAGTGCGCAAGCTACAGAAGAGCGCGTCATCTCTAGTAAGTTCAATTCCAAGGCTGTTCCCCAAGAGAGACGTACCAGTTCTTTAACCAAGCAGGCCAATGGCTTATGGACAAGCTCAAGAAAAAGTCCCGTGAAACCAGAGAAGATTGTAAGCAACCCTCCCATCTCACTCCTTCTCTCCCTTTATCTGCCTTTAGCCTAGTACTGTACAATTCTGAGCCATCCTACAGACCTCCGTATCCTCCGTTGCCGAATCAAAGAAAGCGCCGCAGAAAACAAATTGCAACAGGCACGCAACACCACAATCTCCGAGTTCGTACTACAGAAACTTCAAGGTAAAGGCCCGGAACACGATTTCGATGCGGCGAGGGAGTATGAGGTAATGATGAGGTGGAAGCTGCTTATTGACCAGGCTGTCAGTGATGCTAAGCATGAGGGGCTGGTGGAGCTGGTGAGGAGGGTTGAGGAGCTCATGGATGAGGATGGGGGAAGTTAGATTGAGAAAACACATGAGCACAATGGGTGCGTGGCTTGCGTGCTCCTTGTTTTGGTAGATCGATGTAACGAGTAGCAAGCCAGAAAGCCTATTGGATCCATCACGAGGTCGAGTTTCTGTTTGTCTACCAAGCACTTCTAGTACTAACAAATAAGTGTCACCAGTACATATACGACCACATACACCAGCGTTGTGCACTTTCCGGTATCTTCACTCCATCTATCACACACCCAAAGGACATAGTACCTGACTTATCGCTCAAGTATCTCCAAACAATTCGATCAACATGGCCGAACAAGAACAGTCACCAGGCCTGCAAATCTACATACCCCAGGGGGATAAGCTCTCTCGTAACAAAGCCCCCAAAGTCCCTTCCTAGAAAAGCCAACGACTTGCTAACTCGATACCGTAAAACAGTGACAGACTACTTGGATTTCCTCCAGACCCAATCGCGACATACTAAAGAAAAACGTACGTACACCACTCAAGCTATATCGTCTCGCTCTCCGCAAAGTCGTCATCAACGCATTCTAAAACTTGTATAGGCCTTGCCGTTCTGAAAAAGTACCTTGCCAAAGGCTGGGAACAGTTTGCTGAGCAGTGTAAACGCGAGGAAGCAGCCATAGAACTCGCTCAATCACAAGCCAAGGCTATGGAAGAGGGCGAAGAAAAGCAGCGTGCGGTGTTGCAGCTCGCGGTGAAGATGGGGATCAGGTTTTGGGAGTCGTTGGTGGAGGCTGCAAGGCATGACGGCTTACAGGAGTTGGTCGAGACGGTTGAGGAGATTGTGCAGAATCATGTGCCAAATGAGGCCGATACTTCTCACTCGTAGATGGAGAGGGTTGGCTAGGTTTGTAGTTTGCGAACTCTTTGTTTTGTTTGACCGACGTAGTAAACAGCACAGTGCCATCACATATATTCCGGCAGTGCGATACTTCTTGCCTGAGAATCTCTATCACTCTTCTATCAGTCAGCTCTCCCTCAGTCATGAACTCACATCTGACCTCTGTATCTAAAATGCGGCATCCGAAAAGCACCAACGACTTGCGAAAAGCGCCAACCATGATTGCAGATGCAGAGCCCCTAAACCAACCAGTTCGTCCAAACATATCCAGTGAGTGCTACCGCAACGTCCTTTTCCGAGAACAAAACAGCAGACTAACGAACAAAAAAACACAGGCTCATGGTTTACTTCCAATCTCCCCAAAATGACTCTCAAAGATTGGAATGCCTGTACGTGCCTAGCTTCCCTCTTCTCCCTCACCATACTCACTCTTCTACCTACCCCTGCCAAGATGTTGCTCGCTTTACTTTACCACCTCACAAAGTCCACCTCATAGCTACCGGTGGAGCTCAAATCTTCTGACACGCATCCAGATGAACGCACCCTGAGCTCCTACATTAAAGACAGCATTGTCGAGAGAAAATCAATCACTGACAAATCCGACGATTACATCAAATGGGAAAAGGATCTTGTCGAAGATCTGGAAGAGCAGCTGAAACGTGCAAAGGAGCGAATAGAGGAAGAGAGGCGACGGGTCGATCTCGAGAAGGTAGTACATGATACTAAGCACGAAGGCTTGGTGGAGTTGCTGAGCAAGGTCAAACAAGCGTTGTGGCCAAGATATTAGAGCGGGAGGATCCAGCGGCTTTGCGGTTTGCCGACCTACCAGTCATGTCACCAATCGACGGGTTATATAGCAAACCGCACGCGGTCTATACATTCATGACTACGCTCTCTTATTAGCAGTTTCCCAGATCCGTCTCTCTTCTACCAAACCGCTATTGCACCTTGACCCACCAAACTACTTTCCACATCTCCATCCCAAGACCCTCTTCATAAGCCCAAACCACAATGTCCGACGACGAAGAAGCTCCACTCCCCGCAACCATCGAGATCGATAGTAGGCGACACTCCCCCCTCCCTCTTGCAGAACCGCTACCGTAGCCATAAGAAAGTGCCAGCTAACCAGCCCCTCCTCAACAGCAAAATGGTTCCTATCCAAACTCCCACGGCTGTCTTATGAAGAAAGACACGAATGTAAGTAACCATCACCATGTTACCTACGTATTCCAACACAGCCAAAACACGCTACTAATCCAATCTAATCCTTACACAGACAACGCCGTTCTCATCCGTAACATCGAAGTCATGATGAAAGAGTTGGGATTGCCCGACCCTGATCACCACGCCGCCAATGTGAACGCCGATGCTGAAGTCGTGGCAGCAAGGAGATTAGTTGCGGAAATGAAGGAGCTGCAGGAGCTTGCGGAAGAACGTTTGGGATTGCCCGACCCTGATCACAACGCCGCCAATGCGAACGCCGATGCTGAAGTCGTGGCAGCAAGGAGATCAGTTGCGCAAGCGAAGCAGCTGCTGAAGCTTGCGGACGAACGTTTCCATCGTGTGCATGATATATCCATTGCTATGGGTGCGGAGAAGGGCAGGAAGATTGGAGCCTTGCGTACGCTAACGAAGAAGACTAAACAGGCTATGAAGAAGACTAAACAGGCTATGCGGGAGGAGGGGTGGATAGATCTTGGGGAGGCAAGTGAAGAACATGATGAGGGCTCTGATAGTAGCTAATTTCCATGCTGTAAAAGAACCTGGTGATATGTAGATTTGGTAGATGATGCCTTACATGTTACTTACACCCCAGACCCACCCATCTCATTCCTGATCTTCATCCCTTTACGCCGCCTGCGCAGCTCTCAACCCCCCTCTCTGTCCCGCATTCCGACTCCTGACCTCAGTCTGCCCAACCTCCAAATGCGTGCCTGCCCTGCTCTTCTCCAGCGACACGGCCGCCCGATCAGTCACCGCAATGTAATCCTTCGCATCATGCTCCACCGCACCAGGAGTAGAGACGTGGATACCCTCAACGAGAACCTTCTCATCATCCGGTATCTCCAGTGTAGTCTCCTTGATCTCGGGACCTTGTGTCTTTGTGCCAAAGGGCGGGTCGAAGCGCTTCCGCAGGGTTTCGATCATCTTGCCGAACCAAAACCAGTTCAGGCCGTTGAGGATGATGTTGGAGGCGAGGTAGGCGGTTATGAGCCAGAGAGGGACGGTCTGGCCTTCGGCGAATCGGAGGATGTCGTGCTTGAAGCCGGCGTTGTGGAGGGTGGTGTTTTGCGATAGCTTTCCGACGTCTGGGTCTGAGTGTGTGTATGCGCCGGCGGCGTAGGCATGGTAGACGTCGGTAAAGACGCGGATGGAGTTGTAGGATCCCCACACGATGCGGCAGGAGAAGAAGGTGCATAGCAGGATTATGCCGTTGACGAGCTGGATGGTGGTGCCCGTCATGTTGAGCTTATCGCAGAACCAGTGGATGTTCAGGAAGGGCGAGGAGAGTTCGTAGAGGATAAAGGTGCACGCGTAGTAGTTCACGAAGGGACGCTGTCACACGATCAGTACTCTGAATAGCTCCCATGTGCTCTGGGAAGCACCGTGGTCTACTTACGAAACCCAGCGAGAATACGCAGAGGGCACAGATAGCATGGAACAGCATGCCGGTACCGAATGCCTTGACATTCTGCAGCGTGATGACCAAGTCCCACAGGAAGTAGCCTCCTGCCATAGCTTGGATCAAGCCAGATGCTCCAGTGTATCCATGCACGCGCTCCGTCGAGTCCATCTGATTCAGCTCCTTATCCGTCCACATGACCCATAGCGCCATTCCGCAGACCAGCGTGCTCTGCACAAATGACACGATGTGCACATCCCAGTTGAGCTTGGTTCGCGCGGTGAAGTTGGCGTATATCCGCGGGAAGAAGAAGCGTGAGATGGCGGGGGCGCCGTAGCTGAAGATGATCTGGTAGAACGTGAAGGCTATCGCGACTTCGTGGAAGTGCAGCGGCAGCGACTTCATGTTGAGGAAGTCGGCGACGGGCTGCACATATTTGACCAGGCTCTCCGGCGGCGCGAAAGGGAACGGGTCGTGCATCGTGGCAGTCGAGTGTGGGGTGCAGTAGACGCGGAGGTAGGTGGAGGTGGAGGTGCGAGGCGTGATGTCAGGGCGGTAAGAGTTGCACGCGAGCAGGAGCGAGGGTCCCTTCTTATGCAGGGAAGCAGCGGAGGGGCGTTCGGCAGGAAGGCAGAGCAAGAGCGGTTTTATACTCGGGTAGATACGAAGATCCAAGGCCGCGGCGGCACAATGATGCACGCCGCTCGAGGATGCCTGGGAAAAGGTGCGGATGACGACCAAGCTTGGTGCAGTCCCTTGTTCTAGGCCGAGATGCGATTAGCGAGCCGAGGACCCATCGCCCTGCGCCAGAGGCACACGAAAGATTTCATGTCCACCGGGTCATTTTTGTGGAATGCTAAATCACTGCCACGGGACCGCGTCATGTTGGACGCTGTTGGATGTGTTTGGGTACAATGCACCGCCACTAGAGGCGTCATGCCGTGACAAGTCTCACCCTCTTCGGACGCCGCATCACCGCATACAAGGAAGAAGTTGAACACCTAATAGAAGTAAATAGCTCCGAGGTTTTTATTGACCTGGCTAACTTTCGTTTTATAATAGAGTAGACTGCGGTGCAGCTGCCTGGCGTTTCCCTCGTAGAGGTGGTAGTGGGTATCTTAAAGCAATAATGTGATGATGATGAAGATGCCGCGCTCAGAGCCCATCAAGTCTGACGTTCTGATTGTGCCAGCAGTTGATGCATTTATCCACCTTCAACCTCGCAGCGTATGCTACGAGGAACATCTCTGCAACGTACGATGTTCTCTCGATTCTGTCGAGAAGGAAGTAGAAGTCCTGCAAACTCCTATAGCTGATGATCCGATTGCTGTGACTGAGTAAATTTGCCGGGTGGGCGGTGAACTGGCTCTGTTGTGCGGCCGGTACAGGTGAATTGAAGAGGGCATTCATGCGTCTAGCCTCCTCCATGGAAGATACTGGCGGCGTGGGTAGTCCAGAAAGATAGTCCGGCTGAGCAGACGAATGATCATGTGATGCCATGTTGGTTGGTCCTGTCCATCCTCCTGTGTTCCCTCCGAGCAGAAGAGTACCTGCTACTCTGTTTTCGGCCAGTCCTCTTTCCATGTCCAACTGTGAACCAATCCACAATGACCACACAGCTTCTGTCAAGTTGTCATGTGTGGGTACAACGTTGAAAGCGAACCCCATCTCGTGCTCGTTGTTGAAAGGATAGTATCTGTTGGTCTGGCTATGCCTCCCACCAGGGAAATAGTCTTGGTAACTGACAGTGGCATTTGAAACGCCGAGTTCGTCGTTGACCTGCTTGTTGAAGTATGCGTTGCGATGCTTCTCACTCATCGACACCAGTCCTTCTTCCCACATGAGTCGCTCGGCGACTAGGAAAAGTTTACGCACGTGGGCATGCGCCTCACGCTTCCCTCTGCAGATGGGGCAACAGTAGAATGGCATGTACTGAAGGTTTGGAGTTTGCGTGGCATGTGCCTTCAATCCTTGTAATGGATATGGAATGAAGTCTTGCCGCGGGAATGGTACAGTCGCGGACTGTCCTTGGCCCCGACTCGTACTTGTTCTGCGCCTTCTCTCAGTTTCAGCAATAGAGCCATTTTCAAAGCAGATGTTGGAGTCTTCCGGGTCGGCCAGAGGGTCGCATGCAGGGTCAATTGGACGATTGCCAGGATTGGAAGTCATGGTGAGTAAGTTGTAGGAGAGAGAGGCCAAGAGAACTCATGATTTACACAGGTCTGTCAGGCAGGCTTTTACACTCTTATTTGAAGCCCTGACCCAACATGAGGATGTATTACGAGTACTTGCGAGTGTCTCACTGGGGCTTTAGAGGGTCACCGCGGTACCGTGGTCGTGAGCGGGCCAAGGTGAGGGGACAGGCGAATAAACATTCTGCCCTCAGGAGTTGTTGAATTACCGCACAGAGTTACCATCCTGCTTGTCTGACTGATCCTCAACAAACACATCCTGCGAATAGTACACCCATGTAAGGCGGAGTGAGAGAGTGCGGGGAGGTTTCGTGACGCGACTTACGCGACGGCTGCGTGCAGGGATCAAGGATGCTCAAAAGTTGGGAAGGCGCGAAAGCGGGACACAGCAAGAGATCCGACTGCAGTTCTCATATTACAACCATGAAAGCTGTCCGACCATCTTTCCGCGCCAATGCAACATGTCAGAGGCAAATCTTCTGCAGCAACTTAACGTCACGCCGCATAAGTTCAATACCACGACGAGCATACACACGACCCGCATTCGCACCGAAACCCTCCATCGACATCAAACACATTCGACAGAACCCAGGACTATATGAGCAGAACTGCATAGACCGCAACTATGCTGCACATAGCAAATCGTCATGGCGGATCATAGAGCTGCACGAGCAATGGCTCGCACTCCAGCAAAGCAGTCGCGACCTACGAGAGCGCAACAATCGCATACGGGCCACTCTAGCTAGGACAGCATCGCGCGCCAAGGACGCCGACGGCAAGCCGGTAGCCTTGAGAGAAGGATTGATCAGCGATGCGAAGGCATTGAAGGCGGAGTTGAGCTCTATTGAGGCACAAGAATCCGAGATCCAAGAAGAGATAGAAGGGCTGGCGCAGGATCTACCCAACTTAAGCAGCACATGCACGCCCGTCGGCACCGAAGCAGATGTACTCGGCTACATCAACGAGTCGTCGAAATCGCAAAATCGCAAGTCGCACGTCGACATTGGGCAGGAATTGGGGATACTTGACTTCTCGGGCTCAGCGCAGACTTCGGGCTGGGGCTGGTACTTTCTGGTCGGGGACGGCGCAATGCTGGAACAAGCACTCGTACAGTACGCCCTAAGTGTCGCTAGGAGGAAAGGATGGAAAGCAGTCGCACCTCCATCCTTGGTGTACTCGCACATTGCATCTGCATGCGGATTCCAACCGCGGGATCAGAATGGGGAGCAACAGATATACGCTATCGAGCAGTCGGAGAAGGACAAGGCGAAGCCGCAACTCGCTCTTGCCGGAACTGCAGAGATACCGCTTGCTGGCATGAAGGCCAATCAGACCCTAGAAGAAGCGGAGTTGCCGCTCAAGGCGGTCGGCGTGAGCAGGTGCTACCGTGCTGAAGCTGGCGCAAGAGGAGCCGACACAAAGGGATTGTACCGTGTTCACGAGTTCACCAAGGTTGAGATGTTCGCCTGGACAACGCCCGATAACATGGGAGAAGATCACTTCACCACTCCAACAGCACCGAGCTCAGAGTCAATCTTTGACGAGATACTGTCGATCCAAAAGGAGATACTAGAAGCACTTGGGCTGCACTGCCGCATCCTGGAAATGCCCACAACCGACCTCGGTGCCAGCGCGACGCGGAAAATCGACATCGAAGCCTTCTTCCCATCCCGAGAGAAAGACGAAGGTTGGGGCGAGGTGACATCATCGTCCATGTGCACAGACTACCAGAGCCGACGACTACAGACTCGCATGCGCGTGAAGGGAGGCAAACTAGAGTTCCCGTACACGCTCAACGGAACAGCACTTGCTGTGCCCAGAGTCCTTGCGGCTATTCTAGAGAACCACTGGAACGAACAGGACAGCACGGTAACAATACCAGAGGTACTGCGGCCGTTCATGAGTGGGCAAGAAAAGATACAGGTGGAGCGTCGTTGATGGTGTGAGGAAGTACTGTACGATATGTATCATGTATCTAGACTATGATGTCAGGTGGTTGGATGTTACTGGTGCCGCAACTAGATGCGCGACACCACTCAAGAAACATGCAGTCAACACATCCTATGGCCACAGCCGTCTACAAAACCGCGCTGCTCGCCCCCTGCATCAACTTTCAAGCTTCGGACCGTCAGATGCTTGCACTCCCCTGTTTTGGCCGCGACATCCCAGCTGGCCGCAATCGAGGCTGACTCTGCGCTTGGCCCGGTTATGGCCGGCGATTGGCGCACAGCCTCCAACCTGTTCGAGCTGGGTGGCAGGGTGCATGAGGCCAGGTGCATATTGGATAGCGGCCATGTGAACAACCGCCACAGCCACTGCTGTCTGGTGCTGCACGGCTCCTGAAACATCTTCTCAAGACTGCACATGCGTCGCAAAGCAGCAGAGTCTACCCTGTCGCGCTGAACCGGTTCTGGGCCAAGGTCCACCTTTGGCGCCATCGCATTCGAGGTGGGGTGGTTAGCGGGCCATTCTCGTCTACGGCCTACGCACCAGCCTCCAGCGCTCACCAGCATCAACAACCCGGCCGCCCACCACCAGCCTGCCTGCACCGCGAGCTGCACCGCTGCGTGCAACCACCGCACCACGCAGCTTTGTTGCTGTCGCCACCTGCCCCCGCCCGACCAGTGTCACCCGCCTCCAGCCATCCGCGACCCGTCGCAATATTGTTGGAACGCATCATTGTCGCAAACCACTCCTTCGGCCACCCCGAGCACCACAACACCAGACCTGGACAGCGAGATAGCAAACGTCGCGGCGCATGGTTTCCTACCCAGACTCGGCGAGTGCAGAGCGCTCACTGCCCATACGGCGTCCCTCGTCGGTTGTATCGCACTCGTCGCGCGCATCCACCGTCCGCAGACATCGCCAGCACCGCTCCAATGTGGGCGGCTCGTCGCTAGCACCCCAGAATGAGTTCCCCGTGTTTACGCATACCGGCGACGTCGAAATCGTCATCAGCAATGGGCGGAAGGAAATGCGTTATCTGCTGCACAAGTTGATTCTGACGCAGTGCTCGGGCTTCTTCGAGGCTGGCACGAGCGATGAGTGGGCGACTGCTGGTGATGTGACCAACGCCGGGCCCAGCAACGGCACCGCCCTGTCGAGGATACCATCAGGATCACGACCCGAGCAGAAGCGGAAATGGAGGTACGAGATGGATTGGGGCAGCGGCGATGACGACCTGCCCATGCTCGTGCAGAAGGTGTGTTTGTTTACCGTCCGCGACGGCGACCATGCTAACGAGAGTCCAGAAGAACCAGCCTACCATGTTTGGCGGCGACCCAAGTCCACCCGTGCAACCCCCTACTGCGCGCAACAAGCCTGCCGCACCGCAGTCAGGCTTCTTCCGCAGCATGGCCAACTTCTCCACCCTCCACGTGCCCGCAACAGCCACTCCCGAGACCGACCCTGACGACGACACCTTCCGCGACTACGACAACCTGTTCCGCATCTTCTACAACTACCCTCCCACGCTCGACTCTCTGAACATCGCGAATGCCTACGTAGAGTGCAAATCGCTTCTGCAGCTCGCCGACATGTACGACGCGCTTGGCGTCATCGGACCGCGTGTAGACCATCATCTGCTGCGTTTCCAAGGCCGGCTATGGAAGCAGATTGCGAAATACCCGCCCAGCTACCTCAAACTTGGCTACATGGCACGGAGTAAAGCCATCTTCGCCGAAGCCATGGTGCACGTTGTCGGACAGTGGCCACAAGGCATCAATCAGCTACGCGGCCAGATCGCTGAGCCCGTCATCGAGCTGATAGAAGACAAAGTCGACGAGATGGACGAGCTCAAGGCCAAGATTGAAGTCAAGCTCTTCCGCCTATCCCTCACAACTAGTCGCGGCGAGCGTGTGAGCCCATCGAGCAACTGGCTGGACTGGATAGCAGTCTCGCTATTCCGACAATGGCTCGCCGAGAACACCACGCCACCCCCGGCCCCAATCCTCAAATCGCCACGACCCCAGAACTCGAGAGACGGTGCGCCGCTGCCACCTCCACCAGTCTTCAATACCGGCCGCATATTCCGCTTGCTCGGCCAGGCTGGCTCAAGTTACCTCAACCACGACGAATGCAAGCGCTTCCTGCGACTGAACCCCGACCACTACAACCGCGACAACCTGAAGCGCTTCGAACGCAGAATCGAAGAGATCAAGGTTAAAGCCAAAGACGCAGTCAAGCCGCTGATGCGCAATTTCCTCGAGCTCGACCTACGAGAAGGCGGACTGCCCTATTTGACATGCACAAGAATCGATCCGCAAGACTTCCCATGGGACGACATATAAGACTGGAGGGAGGAAACGACTACATTGAGAACACACACCCACTCGCTTCGACGTTTATGGATTGGCAGCAATCTGGCGCTCTTTTTGATCTATTTGCCTTTTTTTTTGGTTTTGTTACGGATGCGGGATGTTTTGGCGCCTGATACCCTAGGATGTTTACATGTAAATACGCCGTTGTTCTTCTTTTCTTCGCTATTCCCACCCCCGATTTCCTTGACGATTTGATGATGTGGGAGAGATAGAGAGATGTGTATGTATGTAGAGAGACAGATGGTAATTATCGTGCGTAAGAGAAGGAAAAAAAGAAGAAGAGGGCATATGCTGGCCATGTGCTTTCTTCTTCTTTTATCTTTCCATTGGGGCAGATGAAGAGATAAGATGAGATAATCGACATTTCCACCTTCCTCCACTTCTCTCGTGACATCCCCTGTTCGTTGTCTTACACTGC